AAAAAAGTATTCTGTCACGACCCCATCACTGGTTGCCTTGCAAGCCCTGTTTTGAGCGAAGATTTGTTAAGACATAATTTGTTTAACCCTGGTTAATTGAATGAACTTCAAGTGGTTACACTTATAAAACATCTACAGGTAAGTCCAAATCAAATAAGCCATAATAATGCAACGTGTGAAACTGGCCACAGAATTAAAGCAGTCTCTCAAGATCATCTGGACATTGCCACCACAGAAAACCCCATGACAGCATCTATGATGGTGGCCATATAGCCACTGCTTAAACAACCAAGAATGTAGAAGAGTTTTCATGACTGTCAATTACCTTATTACAACTAGTTTATAAATACTTTAAATAGTTAATATTTAAACAATAACCACTTAAAATTATTTTTTAATAAATCTGTTATATAAACACTGCAGGTCAATAAAGAGACTCTGTTCAATTTAGTTGTATTTTTTATATATTTTTTATTTTTGGATATACATCAATATCATTATATGAACAGTGAGGGATCTGGGTATCATTCATTTAAATACAAATAATAAGAGTAATGTTAATAATATTTGTTATATTAATCATACTTATGTAATTGTGGTATTATTACTTATATTAGAGTGCATTCCTTCATTGTTTAGTTGTTCAGTGTTTTTGTGCGCCATTCTAATAACAATCACTATAGTATTTAAATATACATAGTGCTACCATCTTTCAACATCTAATCTTTATATCTATTACTTTTAGTATATTATATAAAAATATGTATAATAATAGTCCCCCTTGATCTTGTTTCTACCTCTATTCTAGCTCTCAATAAAGCCAATCTTATATTAAACAGCATTCTCTTTCTAACCATCATCTCTTGCCCGCTTTAGTATTTCAATTCTTACTTGTTTTTTGACTTGTCTCCCAAACTCCTCCCTTGGGTCTTTGTCTCTGTCTACATCTTTACTAGTTAGCCCAAATATTTCTTCCATCTCTACTATCTCTTGCTGCTGTACCTCTGGAGGTTCTGCCCAAGCCCCTATCTTCTCTTCAAAACTATCTTTCTTTTTATCCAATCCCATTTTTTTCTCTCTTAATATATATTGTCCCTTATTTGATTTTTAAGTCTTTATTGTCTTCTCCTTCTTCTCGTTTTATTCGTTGATTTATCTGTTCTGTCTTTTCCTCTAGTCTTTCTATTATCTCCTCTATTTCCTGTGATCTTTATTCATTGTCCCTTGTTGAACATTTTCTGATTTCCCCACAATGTCATGCATTAAGTCTTTTATCTCCCTGTGGTTATCAACATATCATCAGTACTTTGAAGCATCAACACCATTTCTTTTTGAAATCCACTCATCTCCCCCTGGTGCAACATCATGTCTTTTTTTGATAGGTCCAAATATTGCTCAATAGTCTGTCAGTAATCTGTCACCGCCCCAAAGTCTCAATTGTCTATGACCTCAGAAAGCCAGTTTAGAAACCATTTGCTCAATCCTAGCATTGCTCCTTGGGGGAATGCAATAGTTATAGTTCTTTGTGTTCCACAATTAGTCAATTTCCATTTAGGTAATCCAGGAAGATTTCCAAATATCTCCTTAAATCCACTCTGTAAGGTCAGTTATAGATCCTGGCTTTTAAAAGTAGCTTTCTTTAGATGTCTTCCATAATCTCACAGTTAAATCTCCAATAACCATGAAGTAGACAGATATAGAACAGTAGATAGCACAGCAGTCCTCCAGATGTTATTTATTTCCACTTTTTTTTCTTTTGTCTTATCAGTACTTTCCAAGATTGTAAGAGTTTACTATATATTCCATTAAAAATCAGTAGATGGCGCCTTAATTTTAAATTTCAACATTGCACAAAATCTAGCAAATATTTATTTCAGTTTTTGCAAATAGTCAATATTCAGACAAATATTTTAAAATACCTTACCAAAATATTGCCAATAAAGTTTAAAACACCAATCTTTCTATATTTTAAAGATTTTGCGCTCTCCCTTTAATTCCTTTTCTTTCGGGTCTGTAATTTTTCTCTCTGTAATTATTCGCCGCTTAAACAAGCATTTCAAAGAGTCTTTTCCAGGGTTAGTTTCTAGGAAAAAAGAGAATCACCGCACTCAGTTCCAATCACTGTTCATCTACACCACTCCAGCACATTCTTTGTTTCTTCAGCTGCCCCAGCTTCACCTCAGCCATAATGGCTGCCTCTCCATTTCATCGTTGATGGGAGGGAATCCCTGGGTCCAGCTGGAGACCTGCAGGGCGCCCTTCCTTTCTTTGTCACCCCTACAAGGTGACTTTAGCCCCTTGGGGGGGCCCTCCAACGAGGAGGATTCAATGTGAGTTTGCGGAGCCCCGCTATTTGCATCCGATCTCGCTGCGATGTCAAACCGGAAGTCCAATTTAGTTGTAATGTATTGAAGGTAGTGCAGAAGGTCAGTATGAAGTGGTGATTAAGTGTGGGACTAGGAATGGGGAACCCCCGTTCTAGTCTTTTCCTATGCACTTAACACAGCTGGGTGACCTTGAGCCAGTCATTCCTCTCAGCGCTGATCAGCCTCAGGCTGGCTGTAAAAGAAAATCCCTGGTCACACCTTCCTTTAATAATTTTGCTATGTGAATAGGTAAGTTTGGTGCAAAACAAGCAGACCCTGCAACTCAGTGGGACAAACACTAAGAACAACAACAAAATGTTGAAGGATGTCCATGTAAACTGGAATTGGCATAAATGCTGATATATTGCCTTCTACTTGATAAATGGTCAACGTATCAGCTTTGACTCAACAGTTCATACTGTTATGTTCTGTTGGAGATAAGGAGCATGTATTGTTCCTGTATCGTTGCTGTAACGTATTGGATTCAACAGCAGCTTTTATTAAGCCAAGGAGCCTTTTTCTGTGTAACTGGAAGCTAACTGAATATGGGGCCTCCATCCCGTAAAGGGAATCCACCTGACATTTGACATCATAATGAGAGCTTGCAACTTCCATAAGGAAATACCTCAAAAGGCCTGTTTATTTGATAAAAGTGCTGTCCTGTTCATAACTTTGTTTTGGTCACAACTCTCACTTCCAAGAACTATGTCCACAGTGAGATTCTCTAGGCAGCAGCCAGAAGCAGATGGCTTTGAGTCACTTTTTTTGCAATTCCAAATAAACCCTTCAGCAGAGGGTGAAATATCACAGGGCAAAGTTGGAACAAATCACTCATTGTCTAGGCTAGATGAGCCAAACCGCACTCCTTCTCGTAACCCTGAAATGAATCTGAAAAACTAAATGATCCTCTGTGAAATATGGAGGAAGGGCCTGCTCAAAAGAAGCTAAACTCTGCCATCTGGTGGACACAGAAAGGATCCCATCTTTTAGCACCACGGAGACTGCACTTCCCCCCTCAGATCTGGACGATTTACATAATTTTCCTTAATGGGTCTACAAATGTAAATATATTGTGAAACAGAATGATGCCACCTTGTAAGGTAAACATGTGCATAAGTTACTGCCGTTTAAAGGAAGTTCCTGGCCAATAAAGACACACGCAATTATTTAATTCTATTTATGCAACAAGAAAAGTGCCTTTACCACACATGATGAAGCAACTCATAGGGCCCAGTTCCTATGTCTGCAGAATATTCCCATACTCTATAGGGCAGGGCTGTCAAACTCCCGGGCTGGATGCATCACGCTCTGGCCATGCCCATGCCTGGTTTAGCGAAGGGAATTAAAAGTCCCGATACATCACGCGACTCTGCTGTGACGTGAGTTTGACAACCCTGTTATAGGGGATTATCAATTGATAGTGGTTTGTACCACATTTTTTCTCAATTTGTAACCACCTCATGGGTTGAAACATTTAACCCATGTCACGTATGGCCCTATCTCTCTATTCAACTGTTGAATAGAGTGGAGCATTGAAAGACTTCAATTTGGTTGGTGGCCTGCTGATGACTCCTACAGGATTATGGGTAACCGGTCTCCTATAAGTTTATAGGTCACTTTTTATTGCAATAGGACATTTGGCTTCCTCTGATTTACACAGGAAGCCACAGCACAGAAGTTTAAGCCTTATCAAGGAATTTTTAAAATCAATTTCTAAACACAATAGAGAGCCATTTAGGTGTAGTGGTTCTGACACTGGGCTAGAAACCGTACAACCATAAATTCTAGCCCTACCTTAGGTACAAAGCCAGCTAGGTAACTTTGGGCCACTTACTCTCATGCCTCAGAAGGAGGCAATGGCAAACCATTTTTGAAATCTTGTCAAGAAAACTGCAGAGACAGTTTTCATTCAGGCAGCCCCTGGGAATTAACACTTACTCAAAGACACACACACACACACACACAGACACAGACACACACAAAGACTATCCACAACACAGGCTTGAACTTGAATTTTTCCTTTTTGATCCTTTACTGTCACCATTAGAATATTAGTTCAATGACTCTAGAACTTTTGTTTTAACCTAACCCAACAACTCAAAGAGAATAATTAAAATTAGTTTTAATTCTTAACTTGTTAGTCTTAATTGCACTTTTAACTGTTAAAATTATGAGATTTGGATTTAATTTCTTTTTAACTTTTTCATTAGATGTTTTTTACTGTTGTGAGCTGCCCTGAGTCTGGCTGGAGATAGGGCGGCATATAAATCTCATAAATAAATAAATAAATAAATAAATAAATAAATAAATAAACAAACAAATAAATAGTCAGTGTGTGCCAAGATTAGCAAGGTCATTAAAAGTGGCAGTGATGGCATTACTGGTAGAGATGTCCAAGGAAACCACCGTTAACTTTTACTTAGATCTCAAATGGCCAACCAGTAATGAAAAAGGCCATTACCATGGCTAATGGAAGACAGGGGACTAATATACTAGTGCCGCTAATGCAAGCTGGAGCTTACCAGACTCAAAGAAGCAGTTACTGTCAGTCTTAATTAAATGATGCCTCACGGGTCATAGAGTCAGAAGTAACTGAATTTCTGAACAACAAACAGAACCACAAGTATAGGCATATTCTGGGATATACAAACAATTTTATTGAAATTTAACAAAATTCAACAAATGCACTTCAAGGCAGAGGAAATAGATATCGTACATGTTTGCCTCCAGGATTCCTTTCTGTGTGCTACAAGAACAGAAAGGGCAGTGCCAGTGGGTTCAGTTCTACACAACCACACGCACAGAAGGACCATTAAAATGAAATAGAGCTTTTTGCTTATTCCAAAGATAGTGATATATATCAATATTTTTGTCTATATACCATCATCTGCTTTCACAGTATCAGCATCCTATATAAAGTAGTCTCCACAAGCCCTCTCCCTCATCACAGCTGCCATTTGCACGAGGAGCCGAGGTGCTATAGAAAGCAAGATGAGAGGGATGGCAGAATCCCAGCAGAGCAACTGCACAGCTGGAGACACAGTGGACAGGCAAGGGGATGGCCTTGGAGAGTTGAAGAGATGTCAGCTGCCGATATTCTCCTGGGAATCTACTGCAGCTTAGGAGATGTCAAGCTTGGCAGAAATGAGACCTCCTTTGCACAGAGGCTCCATTTAGATGCCAGTCAAAACAACAGTGGGAGAAACTTGCTGTGCAAGTCACAAGGAAAATGAAACCCAACATAGCACAGTACTTTTCTGATCACAGGGCATTTGCTTGCTCAAAAAATAACCACTGGAAGAACATAAACCAGGTATTTTAGAAATGTAGATATGAGAAAGACTGTAACCAACATGCCTTCCATTGTCTCCCATGAATAAAATCTCTAGATTGGAGAGTAGAATATTCCATTTTGAAGATAAAATGTGACCCAACACTAAGCAAACTGCTTCTTCCGACCTACTTTTGAGGTAAGCTTCTTAATAAGCAGCCTTCCGCTCAATTACTCAAGAAGTAGCATAGTTCAGCTCCTTGATGACAACCTATGATTCATTATGGACCATCGTGCTGAGATGGGAGCATTTGTTGGTCCAGCAAGTTTGCAAACTCATCTCGATCCGCAGGATGCTCTTGTTTCACTGCAATGACATTTCCTTCCCTAATAAAGATCAGAAATGTCAGATTCTGATTATCACTTTACTCACTTTAAAAGTGAATCAAAATTCAGATTTCACTACATAAGGGGGTGTTGCTGTTTGTACACTTTCTATTGACAGGATCATACAACTGGTAAACTCATAACCTGATTATGCAAAGCAGTGGCAACTGAGGAAACAAATGGGAACTATGGTCCAAGTATCAATCCTAATATGTAACACAGACTTATAGCTAAGAGGAGCAAAGATAAGAAAGTGAATAGGCAGACCTCTGTCAGCATTGCTGTATGCAGTCTGTGGCCCTTCTACTTAGGCTTTTAATGCTTAAAAATGATTTCTTTGCATGAGTGGAGATGAAAGGATGCACATTAATATTGCGATGCAACTGTGTACAAGCTAATTATACTGAACATTGAGGTAGCAATGCCTGAAGTGCTCAGAAAGGCAATGACACACTCTGGGAAAGAAATATGATGTGCAATGAACCCACCCATACTCCAGTTTTAAAGCTTAATACCAAGTCCGATGGGTGGGTAAAAAGGCAGGCAGGCAGGCAAGGATCGTTTGGCTGTACATTGCATATGAAAGCCTCTTTGTAAGAGTGCCTTTAATGGGGTTTGCCTGATCACCTCTCAGCAGCAGATAGCTGTACATCGTGAAAGCAAGAAGCCTGGGATGAAGAGGTAGGCATACTGCTTCAGTACTTGCTCAGCTATCAGTACCATAGCAAAACATTCCACATTCATACATCGGGGAGAAGGGTAAGGCCCTTCAAAATAGAAAAGATGTAACTCTCCTTCCAAGTGTGCTTGCATTCTCCCCCATCAGACACTACTTGGTCCAATCCAAGGAGTCTGCCAAAGGAAGATCACAGGATTTTGTTATTATTTGCCGGCAGAGGGAGATGAAGGGGAAAATGCACAGGCCAAATTAGGTGGCAAACATTTTGACCAAAGTACTATGGTCTTAGTAGAGACAATATAAACTAAGAAAGAGATGGAAACCTTTGGCTCTCCAGCAATCCCAGACAACATGGCCGACGGCGGAGGATGCTTGAATCTGCAATTCAGCAACACATGGAGGACCATAGGTGGAGGCTCTCCATGTGCAACATGGGAAACCAATATGGGAACAAGTTATTCTACCACAAGAATGAAGAGAGAAGTCTGTTCTCCTGACATGGGGCTCTCCAGAGAAGATGCTGGATTATGAATCTCATCAGCTCCAGTTAGCAAAATCCCTGCCCTACAGTCACTGTGCTCTAGCATTTATTGGAGGGCTCTAGGTGAGGGAAGGATGCCCTCTTGAAAGACAAATGCTTCCTAAGATGTAATCTATTTGGTGCGCTTTAACAGAAAAGCTTCATATCCGGATGCTACTTCACACCTTCTATCTTGCAAAGTTCAAAAAGATGAAACCTGCAAAGGAAATAGTGCAACTCCCAAGGGAAATATAACAAAGAGAGGACAACCTACTTGTCTGTTTCCTACGACCACTTCAAAAATGATTCTGTTTTGAACAGTTTATTAAGTGCAACATTACTCTCCCTGCCTCCACAAAGATATAGTCGAGTATTAAGTCTTTCGGCCTATGCTTATAAGGTAAGCGGGTGAGTGAGTGGACAAAGAAGCGTAAGAAGTTTTCTGCTCACCTTTACTCATCTTGGAATAGGCTGAAATGTCAGTTATCAACTTTTGTAAAAGCTGACTGGGGTAATCACGCGGAATATCTGTTCCCAAAAAAGTGCAAGTTGGCCCTCTAGTGTCAAGACATTTGACATCTGCTGCCCCCTAAGCATCAATGAGCAGCTGTTAGAAACGTTCTAGTTGACTCAGTGAAGGAAATTTTGATAGGCTCCTAATCAAGGCCTGACTTCCCATCTGACACAGGTCCCACTAATATACATCCTTAGACAATATTATGCCTGATAAGTCAGAAGTGTGCCCAGTGCCGCAGTTGCTGTCACTGCCTCCAAGCAGAGAAGCATCAAAGCCCGCTGTCTGTTCGTGCCCCCAATTCATCCTCTGCAGGGACATGTGGCTGCCTAGCATGGTTTACATGAGGTGCAGTAAAACTGGCCGAATAAGATGTACTGACGGCACACAGTAACTTTCTCTTGGCTCAGACCTCACAGATGATTACAGGGAAGTCCACATGAATCCGAGGGTGCTCCAGTTTCACCATGCCCTGGAACAACAAAGAATACAGCGTGAGTGAAATGTCACCAAAATTAACTTTCAAGAAGAGGGTTGCGATGATCTCCCCACCTAAGACAGATTGGTGCTAAAAAAAGTGTCTTGCTCATAACCAAAAATCTGAAAACATTAGAAAAGCAAGTAGGCTAAGACATGCCATACCGTTGGACTAAAGATGACTTAAAAGTGGTCATTTATCTGCAGAAAGAGACTGAGGAATAGGACCAGAAAGTAGTAAGACCCTTGAAATTTTCATCAAACAGCTTACTTCTATCACTAGAGGGACCAAACTGTTGTGATCAGACAAGCACAATTCTTTCTAATGTGACTTGCACTAGTGAAGTTCACCCCTGAGCTATTTGACCAATGAATCAGATTGCAGAGCAAACAACAAATATTGTGGATTAGGGAAGAGAGTGATTATGTGCCATCAAGTCATTTTTTACTCCTGGCAACCACATAAAAGGAAAAGAGTAGGACTAAAAAAAAATATTAACAAAGAGGATCAATGTCTCTTATCAAGCTAAAGTTTGCTTAGCCCCCGATTCTGTTCAGCTCTGTTTATCATTTTTAACTACTTCAGAGGTTCTAATCACTGTTATCCTCATCATTCTGTAATTCAGCTATTTTCTACCCAAGAAAGACATCCAGCTTTTTAAAGAAAACAAAAAACCCATTTGAAAAAAAGGAAGGCCAGTGAATAATTGAATGAATGTGAATGAACACAGCTAAATAAAAGTGCATTAGAACCTGTCTGCAAGATTCTCCCATAGGAAACATATTATCTTCCAGCGCTGCCTCAGAAAATAGGCTTGAGAAAGCTTGATACAGTACAGGAAACAAAACTATTTTCTTATGCAAGTTTTATTCTAGAGATATAACAAACCATAGTACAAAACAAAAGAACCAGTTTGGTGTGCAGATAGTCCTTGCATTATAACCATTTGTTTAGCAATTGTTCAAAGTTACAGCAGCACTGAAAAAAGTAACTTACAACTGATCCTTGCACTTAAAACTATTGCAGCTCCCCTAAGACTAAAGGTGACCAAAATGTGGGCACTTGGCAACTGACATGCATTGACATGATTCAAGCATCATGTGATTATTCTTTGTGACCGTCCCAGCCAGTTCTTGCAAGCAAAGACAAGGGGGGGAAGCTGGATTCCCTCAACAACCACATGCTTCACTTCCTACTGCAGTGATTCTCTTAACAACCATGGCAAAAACAGTTGTAAAACTGGGCATGACTCACCAAGCAGGCCCCAACTGCGTAAATTAAAGAATATCTGAGGTGCTTAAGGTGCTGGCCTAGAAACTAGGAGACTGTGAGTTCTAGACTTGCCTTAGGAATTAAAAGGTGGCTGGGTGAGTTTAGACTAGTCACTCTCTCTCAGCTGAACCTACTTAACGGATGGTGGTGGTTGTTATGGGGAAAATAGGAGCAGGAAGAAGTATTATGTATGTTCACCACCTTGAGTTATTTATGGGGGAAAAAAACGACAGAACTAAAAAAAAATCTTTAAAAAAAGTTGTGCCATCATTATTTTAATATTATTTTTAAACTATAAATGGTAAGTTTCTGAAGTCCAAAATATCAAAATGTTATTCGAAGAACAAAACAGTTTTTCAAGATCTTGAGTTTGTATAGAGTATCAAAAGGAAAGCATTCACAGTTTCGGTGATAGAATTACTACACTGACAGGCCTTCAAAGGCTAGGTCTTCAGAGACAGCATTTCCAATTAACTACGCATTCCTCTGGGCATGCTAGCTAGAGACCAGGGAGAAAAATAAATATTTTATATATGCCATAGGTCACTACAAAAAGAAGAGCAATGTTTGGTCAAAGTAAAACCAAATCAAGTTATAAAAAAAAAAAAGTACTTTCAAGGATGACAAAGGCACTCTATTGTAATAATTGCCTATTCAGTATAGATTTATGTTCTCTGTTTTTAGTCTCTGGGGTTTCATTTGGATTGTTTAAAAAACAAATATGGAATATTCTAAAGATCTGTTTATACTTAAGATTATGTGGTTTACCTTCATAAATGAGGCATTTATTCCTTCAAAGCAGGGGTGAAATGCTCCCGGTTCGGACCGGATCACCCGATCCGGTAGCGATAGAGGCGGGTGGTTTGGAGAACCGGTAGCAAAAATCCCCGCGCCCCCCCCCCCATGCCCAGCTGAGCCACACAATCATCAGAGGCTTTTTTTTAATTTTTAAAAGCATTTTTTCTACAACTATGGCTGAAAAAATGCTTTTAAAAGTAAAAAAAAAAAGCCTCTGATGATCGCGCGGCTCATCAAAGGCATCTAAAAGAAAACAAGGGGGTTTTCTTTTAAATGCTATGACGATCCCAGCTGAGTTTTAAAAAAGCCTCTGCCGATCAGGGAACTCAGCTGGGATTGCTAGAGCCTTTTGAAAACATTTTTTTTCAACCTCTTAGCCGAAGAGGTTGTAGAAAAAATAGTTTTAAAAGTAAAAAAAAAAAAAAATTGGCCACGCCCACCCAGTCACATTACCCCACCACCAACAAGCCACAGAACCGGTAGTAAGAAATTTTAGATTTCACCCCTGCTTCAAAGGAATAAATCAACAATATCAAAGTTACAATATTTCATTTTGAATAAATATTTTAAATGTTAAGTATAGCAAAAATCCCTGATGAGGAAGCAAGCTGAAATAGACTCCTAACTGCAGCAGTTTCAAAATCTCTGCTGCAGAATCAAACATCTTTTCTCATATGGTAGAAAGCCATCTCAAAGGCTCTTATTTTCTTACAATAAATCCAATGGTATCAGCAATACAAAAAACAAGCCTTGCAACATACAGAAATTAATCAAGTTCTCCCTAATCTGGTGCATACTGGATCACAATCTGGGAGCTTCTAACAAGTGTGAAGATGACCAGATTGAAAAGTCTGGATCAAACCATCTTTAGTGTTTTTGAGTCTTACCGTATTTTTCGGAGTATAAGACGCACCTTCCCCCCCCCTAAAAGCGGGTGAAAATTTAGGTGCGTCTTATACACTGAATGTATCCCCGTTCACCTACTGGCCCCCACCCTTTGGACTCTGCCTCCCAGCAGTTACCTCCTTGCAACAAGCAGCAAGAAGAAACAGTGTGTTTCAGCTTCAGCACAACCTAATTAGCACAAGTTGATTGGATCGGCCTCCCGAGTCTCAGCTGTTTTGCTCTCAGCTGTTTTGCACAGGCCTCTGCTGCTTGCTGCAAGGAGGTAAATTGCTGGAGCAGATTTTTTTTCTTGTGCTAATCAAGCTATGCTGAAAACAAAAATGAAAGTAAAGCAGGCTGTTTGCTGTTTGCTGTAACAAGGCAAAATTGCTGGGAGGCAGAGGCAGATTTCTTTTTCTTGTTTTCCTCACCAAAAAAGGTAGGTGCGTCTTATAGTCTAGTGCATCTTATACTCTGAAAAATACGGTAGTTTGAATCCAAAACACAATCATAAACATTACCTGAGGTATCAGGTTCTTGTGAATTCTTTTGAGCTTGGCACGCTTCCTCCCATTCTTGGTGATTATTGTCTCCTCATAAAACTCATGTGCAAGGTCACCATCCTCATCATAATACATAGAGCTGAAAGGAAATGAGAAAATTTGAAAAGGAAGTATCAACCAAAGGCAAAATGATGAAGCAGTGTACAGATCATGTTAACTGTCATTAGGAGGTAGAGAGATGGCATTTGCTGCTGCCAACAGGCCTCAGCTGAACCACGGCAAGACCGAATGGCTTTCAGTGCATGGAGCTTCAAGATCTGGGACTCTGACATCTTTTGACTTCTGGATGGGGTGGCACTATCCCAGGCAGACCTGATTCGCACCTTGGAGGTTCTTCCTGGACTCATGGCTCCTGCTTGAAAAAGAAGTGGCAGTCATGGCTAGGACAGCCTTTGTATAACTTCAGGTTGTGTACAAGTTGCAGCCTTTCCTGGATCAGGAGTCCCTGTGCTCAACCATTCAAGCCCTGGTCATCTCATGTCTAGACTACTGCAATGTGCTCTACATGGGGCTACCCTTGAAGAGCATTCAGAAGCTACAACTGTATGTGGCAGTTTGGGGAGGGTCCTCTACTAAAATGGCCCACGTTATACCGCTGCTCTGAAAGTTGCTGCCAGTTTGCTTCTAGGTGCAATTCAAGGTGTTTGTTATTACCTTTAAAGCCCTTCATGGCATGGGTCCAGGTTACTTGAGGAACTCTCTTATCCCAATGGGATTGATCTCTGCTCACCCATGCTGGCAAAGGCATGCTGCGGACACCTGTCAGTCAGGGAGTTCCAGCTGGTGGAGTCCAGAGCAGCCTTCTCTGATGTGGGTCCTGCCCTTTGGAACATCGTGCCCCCTGGGATGAGGTCTGCTCCTACCCTCCTGACTTTTCCTAAGGGCCTGGAGACATGGCTCTGCCAGTTGATGGGGGTCTCAATTAGGGAGTTTCACGCCGGAAGTGGCTGATGGACCAATAGCAGATCCCACCTACCTCCCATCCTGCTCCTTTTATCTCCATCTTTTAGTCATAAAACTATTTTAATGTGTTTTTATATATATATGTATATATGTATGTATATGTATATGAATATATGTATCTATCTATTTTGTGTGTGTGTGTGTATGTTTTATTGTTTTTAATGTTGTAAGCTGCCCAGAATCACTTCGCAGCGAGATGAGGAGCAAACAGATTTAATAATAAATAAATATTTGTATGATCATTATTTTTTTCTTTTTTAAAAAATCTTGATTTTCTAAGCAGGACTGAAACATACTTTTAAAACAAACTTTATATAGTGACATTGATTTCAAATCAAAAAGATGAAGTCTCAAATGGATTCTGCTGCAGGTTGGAACAAACAACAATAGTTGTGCATCACTTCTGGCCATGTTCTATGATTTTTCATCATGTTCTAGTTCAATAAAACTTATGCAGATAACTGCCATTTTATATGACACTCATTAACAACACCTAAAATGAAAGAGGAGACTCCTCTTGAGGCTCAATCTATCATTTAAAACTTCAAATATATTTACAGAAACGTGAAATACTTCAAAGATACTTAAACTACACATTTTTGTATTTGCTTAAAAAAAAGAAAAAGTAGAAAAACTGTTTAAGTGACAAGATATCACAAGTATGCATTAATATACCATAAATATCCAATATAATGGGGATTAATTCCAAATGGTCTCCTTATACAGGTAGTCCTCACAACAGTTTATTTAGTGACCGTAAAGTTATAACAGCACTGGAAAAAGTGACTTGACCATTTTTCAGAGTTATGATCTTCGCAGCATCCTCATAATCATGTGATCAAAATTCAGATGCTTGGCAATTGGTTCATATTTATGACCATTGCTGTGTCCCAAGGTCATATGATCAACTTTTGTAATTTTCTAACAAGCAAAGTCAATGGGGAAACCAGATTCACTTAACAACCAGGTTACTAGCATATCAACTGCAGCGATTCACTTAACAAGTGTGACAAGGTCGTAAAATGGGGTAAAATTCACTTAACAAATGTCTCACTTAACAACAGAAATTTTGGACTGTATTGTGATTGTAAGTCGAGGACTACCTGTATTTCAGAGAAAGATGTAGATCATCATTTGCTACATACATGTAAATTACTTTTTCTGGTAACTGACTGCTTCAAACTGTACACTTAAACAGTTGAAAATATTGCCAAATTTAATTGCAGACGCTCTTCACTAACAAACCTGGGTTCTGCAGAAAAATGATGTTCAGATAACTGAAGTTGTTTACATTTGTTTTTTCCATACTTGCAACTACAAATGAAATCGACTTGTATTTTGCTTTATTAATTAATGGAAGCAAAATGAATGAGAATTGGAGAAAGAAACTGGAACAGTCAAGCATATACAAATGAGAAGTAAAATGCTGCAGTCAGACTGCAATGACATTTCATTTAGGAACTCTCAGCCATAATTACACATATCTCAAAGTTGTGCATTTTGATAAATTTAATTTAATTTAATCAACAGGAAGACAGGCATGCCATTTTTGCCTATAATCTGACATGAATTGTCAGATTATAGAGTTGGAAGGACTAATAAATCCAACAGCTGACTCAATGTACAAATCCTAAAGCATCCCTGATGGATGGCTGTCCAGGAAACACAACCAATTACTGAATCTCTGTGTTAAGTTTCACTGTTAAGCCCATTTAGTATCAGCAAAATTCAGCTCAGGAACTTGCTTTTCTGTACTATAATTTAAATCCCTTATTCTGATCTTCGGGATGATGAAGCACTGGACTTTTTTGTAATACGCATTCAGATAAGAGTTCTACTATATTTCTCCTCCCTACTTTCAGCTTTTTCTTTTCAGTGCTAAATATTTCTCAATCTTCTTTATTCATTAGATTTGATGTATTGTCCTCTGATCGTCTTCATTACCCTTTTGGGCATTTGATCCCAATTTTTCCTAATATTCTTTAAGAAGTGTTGCTATCCGGATAATTTCCCCGTCTGCTAACAGTTATAACTGATTTTGCTCCTGACAATTGAGCTAAATCTGGACTACAAAAACTACTGAATTATGAATGATGTGTTCTTCAAAGATTTTGCAAAACGGGCTGCAAAACAGTTCAGATGGTGAATCGATGTCAGAGTAAAAAGCCATTATCACAAGCAATCTGGAACAAGAGAGCTATAAACTGAGGCTTCTCACTCTCAATAAATGCAACTGATAATAGATCATCAACATTCTCAAGGAGCTGTAATTATTCTGTAACAATATTCTAAATTAAAGTGCCCCTACCTCTTTCTCCTCCACTGAACTTTCATGGGGGATTTTTTTTTTTTACCATGCATATGAAGTGCACTATATATTTTGCAGAAAATAAATATCGAGGAAGCAAGGTCATTTGTTTCCTGCCTTCTATCACAGCAAAATGATCGATTTATTATTTCTCCTGAGGCATTTCTAACAACTGAGAGAGACAGATCATATCTTCTGCCAGCACCTCTATGCTTTTCTTTCACTGTTGAGTAAGCAAAAATCTCTAAGGTTGGGAAAGAGGGAAGGAAGAGAAGAAGTGGATGATCAGCAGCAGCCAGGTGGATGGATCCAGTCACAGTGGTAATGAATGCCCCCTTGAAAGGCCAAGTTAAGGACAGATGGTCACGGACAAAATCGATGTGGTCGCTAAGAGTCGGAAGCGACTTGGCACATCATCACCATCATTCATGGAGTTTTATTTTATTTTATTTTTTATGTCAAACATGTATAAGATAACAGATATAAGTATAAACATGATTATGAATCATAAGTTAGTTACGAATAAAAGGGGACTTTAGGACAGGGATGGTTGGCACGTTGGTGCACTTATGCATGCCCTTTACAGACCTCTTAGGAATGGGGTGAGGTCAACAGTAGACAGTCTAAGGTTAAAGTTATGGGGGTTTGGGGATGTAACCACAGAGTCAGGTAGTGCATTCCCGAGAAACGAGCTGCCCAAGAACTGGTGGGCTCAAGGCCCTGGCCAGGTTTCCCAAAGTAGCATCTCAGGAGCGGCCCTGTCCGAAACGAGAGCTCCGATGATGGTCTCTGGGTCACCCCGAGGTCGTCGGATGAAGGAGGGAGAAGTACGGGGAGATCGGGCAGCTTCAATCTCCTTCCCCCCCCCCCCCCCACTGCGAGCGACCGAAGCAAGGAGGGCATCTGGAGGGAAGCGGCCGCCGCCCTCCTTACTTGAAGTCCGATGTTCGAAGCAGGCAGGGAAAAAGCCGAGCTTGCAAGACCCCCTTAGCTCATCCGCCCGCCCCCCCATCGGCTTCCCTCTTACCCGCGGCGGGTGAAGACGAAGGGGGTAGCCGAGCAGAGTCCCCGAGCTCTTGCCAGCGTCTGATCGCCCGTTGACCTCTCGGAGCCGCCTGGCCCACCCGAGCCAAAGAGCCAGAGGCCTCGAGACTTGGAGCCGCTGGCGCCCATGGCTCAGAGCAGCAGGAGGAGCAGCATGACCGCGAAAGGAGGGACGAGGCGCCCGACGATCCCCGGAGGCCAGCAACGGATCCTCCCTCGCGCCGGAAATTCGCCCCTCCCACGGCGCAACTTCCGGCACCGCCCATTCCGAAAGTCCACTCTTGAGGGGGGAGGCGCCGAGTTATACGAAGGGCTCGAGCGCATATACGGCAATCGCAACTTCCGGTTGGCTCTGGAACTGAAAACGCTGACCGCAAACCGGCTGCGAGCGGGCCGCATCGGAGGAATCGTGCTGGGGGATTTGAAGATGTCCCGTTACCCGCTCAAGCGAATTGCCTCTTTTGAAAGGCCCGCGGGGAACGGTTTGATACGGAGCGATCAGAATGCCGTATTTGTTTCTTAGCAGATACAGTATACAATTGCTATGGACAGTCTTGGCAGAACACTGTATTTCCTAATGCTGTCACATGCTATTAAAACACAAGCCATTTATAATTCAAAGTCATCTATCGTATCAGGGTGCTAGGGTCCTTTTGTGTTAGGTTGAATGCTGTTTTATTTCATATATTTTGGATAAAGGAATGATCATCCCACGAAGGTCATGCCAGCCATTTGAATCAAGCTGTTATAGGAGATATGGTTTATCAGCAGTCCATAATATAAGTACCCAGATAATTTTCATGTAAACTTCCTCTCTTCTACGGAGCTCCGGCGGGGATAGGCATTCCTTATTTTGTTGTCCTTATATCCTAGTGAGGTGAGTTGAAGTGAGAGTTAGATCCATAATTGAATCTGTGTTGGACTTAAGCTAAACGTGGGTTGCCCCAGTCTATTGTTATACATCTACAGCAGGGGTCTCCAATCTTGTCAACTTTAAGCCTGGCGGACTTCAACTCCCAGAATTGAAAGCTGGCTGGGGAATTCTGGAAGTTGAAGTTGAAGTCTGCCAGGCTTAAAGTTGACAAGGTTGGAGACCTCTAATCTACAGTAAACTGTGCTGCCCAGAAGGTAATTTTAATAATACCTGTAATATGCTATATGTGATTTCACCAATATCTGCACATGAAATACTGCATATTGTTTATAATTGGCTTAAATTCCAGTTTATTTAGTAGCCACACCACCATTTGCCCAAACCTTCAAGAGGGTACATGAAATAATTTTGTATATTAGAACAATTAAAAAGTCAAATTTTATGCAATAAATTATAGACTTTAGGCTGTGTTTATTTGATATAGGCAAAATAGGATGGTGGGTATATAAATAAGTCTTAAGTAGTTTTACTCTTTCATAATGGGGAAGTGTGGCAAATGATGAATATTGATAACCTTAAGATTGAGGATTTGAGGATTCTTTCACATTGGAAGATGTTGTTCAGAGATCACAACTGCTATTTCTATATCCATGATGCCATGGGGGTTCCAGCTGAGCTGATTAATTCCACAACATAAGCATCTCAGATCCTTTTCCATGGTAAATATGGCAAAGAGGGTTTCCATTGGAAAGCATTTATGTTAGCTATGTAGAAGTAGCCTATTATATGTTTTGTACATGTATTTGCTATATCAAGTATTAATCTATTTAAAAACACTTGAAAGTTACAGGGTTTGGATAAAAGACCACGATTTAGATCCACCATATAAAAGAAACATAATGCAGCAATGTAGAACAACATAGCACAGTAGTTTTGCTGCAAAATTGTATCTTAATTGGAAAAAGATAAGATGTAGTATTAATTTTATTTATTGTCTCTCAATAGTCCACAAAAGGCAGTAATACTTCAGCCAGAATCTAAACCGAGCTTTTTAAATGGCTTTTTCCGAAAGAAACAAACCTTGATTAATACTACACAATAAGTCATTGATAAAATTATTCTGGTTTGTGTACCTAATAAAATCTTTGGCTGAACATATTACTTCAATCCAGCTAATTTTTAGGCACATCAATCAATTTTGGGTTTCAAGGATGGCAGAGGATCAGGATTAAAACACACAGTATGAATATGGTTTGTACTGTAGGAACTAATAGATGTGACACTACATGCAGATGCCATTTCTAGGCATAAATTTTGAGTAAGAAAGTAATATTACACCAAATATTTCTCATCCCTGAATCATTTATTGATTGGTATATAAGCAGTATCATTCATAACCTAATCAATCCCCCCAAATGTTTTATCCATTCAATTTTCAAAACAATGAACAATCCTAGTTAACCCATTCAATGTTCAAGACAGTTAACAATTTTAAACAGGATTCCTCAGACGTGGCAGAGGCCTAGGTTTTATTTTTTAAATATTTTTCAACACACTGACAATATACTCAACTACTAAATCCCAAAGAGACTTACTGTAGCAGTACAAATGCTTCCCATACCACAGATGTTTTGAGCAGCAACTTAGGAAATTTCCTGCTAGGTTCTGCCCAAAACTAAGATGTTCCACAGCCATACATCAAGATCTCAGTCATGCATGTGCCCATATAAAAGTAAGTACTCAAAGCTATGATTATAGCAGAAGAGAAGCCTGAGTTCTGAGATTTGTTAAGCAGCTAGCTCCAATCTTTCCATTAAGAGAGCAAAATATTGGCAGAATATTTTTCCCCACTATCAATGTTTCTATCAACTGCTTTTCTATAGTTCTGCGAGAAGGCAAACTTTAGTCTCCATTTCTCTGCATGATCAATCTTAGCAATGACTTCATCTGAGAAGCAGTGGATTTCACTTAATCAGACTGACCATGAAGTTCCTACTAAAGATGAGCTTAGACAGGGTTGAATGAATTAGACTAGTCCCTTAAAAGGAATCTTAATTACCTTATATAAAAATAAAAATATTTATATTTTGAAGAAAAGTGCCGTGGATGCCTCTCTTCCTGGAATACTTCTAGATTCAAAGCTACTCTAGTTGTTTTTAAGTTAACCACAAATCTTGCCCAATTCCAATCCCAGAGAAACATAACTCAGCAAGTCTTTTACTGTAAAAGTGGCACTAGCTTTTTGGCACTTTTTTCAGTAACAGTGCTATAGTATTGCCCTAAAATCCCCATCTTCAGACACATTCTGCAAACACCTTTTTATTTTCTCACCTGATCCAAATGTGCCATGCATGCAACATTTACTATCCACTCACTCCAAGGGAGCACATATATGCACTGATCAAAGGCTCACAAAGAGATCCATACATCCCTGCTGTCCCTTCCCCACCACCTCCAGATACATTCATCCCACAGACAGTCGAAGGATCACTTCATTTGCAGTCTACTTGGCTTCACTGCTTTTGGCATCTGTTCTTTACTGGAGTGCTGGGTGTGGGATATAGCATTTTATCAGCCAGGGGTGCGAGCAGCTAGAGCCTCTTGCATTTTTTGGCGACAACGGGCATATTTCTGCAGAATCTGCCGAGTATGCTCCTCTTCTTCACGCTGCAGGATACGCAGAAAATTCTGCAATTCAGGCATGCTAAAGGCATCCCACTGCAAAAAGCAAGGAAATCGAAGTAATTATCACGTGTTTGTATCATAGTGATGAGCTTACGAGTACGACCACTAATAGAGATATATTTCATCACCTTTTACATTATTTTTCTAGAATCTAAAATAAAGGACTAATCCTAACAAAAGATTCTGGCACAGAAAAAGCAGGGGACCACTACATCTCTTATGCATAACACAAAATATACCCTTTGTCAATGGCTCGTGTTTAAAAGAAACACATAAAAATAGTACAAGGGTATGATACGAATCAAAGTAGAAGGCAAATTGGTAATTTCCTGTTCTACAGTTTACAAAACAGCTTTGAGTATGGCTTTAAATAATGTCCAGTTTGGTGTTCGTTCTTAATGCAGAAAGAAGAAATATTTAGTAAATTTAAATACTTATGAATATCTCAGAAAGTGGCAGCACTTGAACAACTTTGTCTGGATTTGGAAACTACCCATATTTTTCAAACTATAAGACGCTCCGGACTATAAGACGCACCTAGTTTTTGGGGAGGAAAACAAGAAAAAAAATCTGCCTCTGCCTCCCAACAATTTGCCTCCTTGCAGCGAACAGCCTGGTCAGCTTCAGCACAGCCTGATTTAGCATAAACAGCTGCGGTTGGATCTGCCTCCCGGAATACCGTCTATCAGCTTTTCCAGGCTGCGGGGATCACCCATCACCACCGTTGCTACCTATCGCCACCATGTGCCCCATTTTCGGCCTCCGCACATCGTTTTCAGCCTCCATGCGCCCCATTTTCTTTCTCTGCGCATCCCATTTTCAGCCTGTTCCAGGGGGCAGGGATAGGCGGCAGCGGCAATGGGCAGCGATGCCGACAATGGACAGTGGCGATCCCCGCAGCCTGGAACAGCTGATAGGCAGTATTCCAGGAGGCAGATCCAACTGCCAATCAGCTGCTTGTGCTAAATCAGGCTGTTTGCCTGCAAGGAAGCAAACTGCTGGGAGGCAGAGGCCAAATGGTGGGGGCCAGCGGGTAGGCGGGGCTTCTGCAACATTTGCTGTATAAGATGCAGAGATATTTCCACCCACTTCTTTTGGGGGGGGGAGTGCATCTTATACACTGAAAAATACGGTAAATAAGATTGGGTCTTGTTAGCATGTAGATGAGATTACTTAGGGGAAGATGAGGGTCATAGAAAGAGGAGAGTAACTTGGAATAGACTTCCTAGAAGAAAGCAATAGCAAAGCACTTCTGTGCTATTGCCAAGAAAACTATATGTCTACACCAGTGATGAAATTCAAAATTTTTTACTACTGGTTCTGTGGGCGTGGCGTGGTTTGATGGGCATGACAGGGCAAGGATACTGCAAAATATCCATTCTCATCCCATTCCAGGGGAAGGATACTGCAAAGTCCCCATTCCCTCCCCACTCTGCGGCCAGCCAGAGGTGGTATTTGCCGGTTCTCCGAACTACTCAAAGTTTCCGCTACCAGTTCTCCAGAACCTGCTGGATTTCACCCCCGTCTACATCCCTGAGTTCACCAGGAAATCAGCCTAACACAAAGGAAGCATAACAATATCCAGCAGATAATAAATGTCATCATATGATTCTAATATTGACCCTGGCTGAAGTGACTAGGCTATGTCACTGAGTCATCAAACACAATGCAGATCTT